GGGGGAAGCGGGGGCCGGGAGAGGTGGGGGTGAAGGCGGGGAGAGACCGAGCCCGGCCCACGCGCTGGGAAAGGCTGGAGCAGTGGAGTGAGCTAGCAGATACCCCACCTGCTCCAGGTGCCGCTGTCCCCGCAGGTGCCCGTCCCAGGCCCGCTGGAGCAGCCTATGGCATGTGGGGTAAGTGGAAGCCGAGGCGCCTAGTCTCTGGTCCGACGGTTCCTCTGAAGGCAGACCTAGGCTAGGCAGGCCAGACCCCTTCCATCTACTGCCCCAAACTCCCTGGACGCTGCTTGCTTGAAGAGCTCTTGAGCCCCAGGCGGCGTTGGAAGCACGACCTGATTGTAGCCGGCAGAAGGCACAAGGATTGTGCAGTTGGCTGGGGACAGTGTGTCCTGGGAATGAACCCAAGGACACCTTTGTCCAGCCCTAGAGAGCCAGCCAGGGCAGGCTACTCCTCGGGCCAGGATCTAGCCAAAGACGTTTCTGGCATGGAGAGACTTCGCTAGCTTGCATTTCACCTGTGGGTGGTTGGGCATGACTGGCCCCAGGGTGCAAGTGTGCGGTCAGTCCCTGCTCTTCTTTGCCAGGCTTATCCTGCTTGCCATATTCCTGATGCTTCTGTGTGGGGTCACGGCCAGCTGTGTACGGTTCTGCTGTCTGAGGAAGCAGCCGCACACCCAGACACACATGCCACCAGCATGGCAGCCCTGTGACCTGACAGCCATCCCTGTGGACAGTGACAGCCCTGCACACAGCACTGTAACCTGTGAGTGTCTGGGGACCCACCAGCCACCGTGGGGGTGGTGGACACTGGGGTGAATGCCGAGCCATCTCCACAAACCCACTCTTGTTTCCTGCAGCCTACAGTTCCGTGCAGTACCCACTGGGCATGCGGTTGCCCCTGTCCTTTGGAGAGCCGGACCCTGACTCCATGGTCCCTCCCACCTACAGCTTGTATGCTTCCGAGCTGCCGCCCTCCTACGAAGAGGTTGTGAAGATGACAAAGGCCAGAGAGGAAGCAGCGGCTCCCTCTGGGAAACGTAACTCTCTGCCTGAGGCCTTGGGGCTAGAGACTACTCCAGGGCACCAAGAGCCAGGCCCCAGTGCCCAGCAGCCCTAGCTGTGCCCCTTTGAAAAGGGTAGGATCCTGGCACTTAGAACCAAGGACCCCCACCTGTGCCATCCTTCCCCCGGGAAGACCAGCCATCCAGCACATTGCTGCAGACTCATTGCTATGCAATGCCCGGCCAGCCAGCCTGCCCTGGATTGGCCCCTCCTCCTTACCCCTGCCACCCATGGGGGCCCAGCAGACCCTCAGCCCGGAGGAGCCTGAACCTTGAGAGCTCAAGCGACTGGCAAATCAGTCCTTTGAAAGAGAGAATAAAGTTTACGTGAACATGGTCTCTGCCTTTGTGGAAACTGCTCTAGCGCCCCCAGGGTGTAGACAGAGAGGGCTGGTGGGGTTCAGAGCCCAGATCTGGACAGTGGGAAAGGCCAAGATCAGAGCGAAGTGATCTGAACTGTGTGTCCAGGACTGTCCACATATCCTTCTTCAGGCCCAACTCCTTCCAGTCGGGACAGTGAGAAACAGTAGAGCCTGGCTGGAAGATTTCATCCGTGCAGAGCTGTAGGCAGGGAGGGCGGCAGTGGGCAGCTGATTCCCTGGGCAGGCCTCCCGCAGACAAGCAACTATGTTACTGGACCAACCTGACGGACTCTCCTGCCATCTGCTATAAACCTGGGGGTTGATGGGCAGGTTAGCAGCCTTCCCTGGCCCAGATGTTTGTTTCCCAGGCTGGCCCATTGCTCACCTTCACAGACAGTGGTCCCACCCCCATCCTGGTCAATCTCCTTGACTTGACCTTCATTTTACTGCAGGTCCTTAACACCCGTTCATGAGCACGTACCTGCCAGGGTCTCACGCTCACCCACCATCTGCTAATGTCTTTATGAACTGCACCACCAACCCGTAGGCCTAAGGCCCTCTTCATGTATGTCCTTGCCCTCCTCGTCAAAGCTGCCCTTAGCTTGCCCTTAGCTGCAGGCTTCCACAGAGTAAATCCCCGTCGGCATCAGGGAGCCATTGCAGTTAAAGAACCCTTCGTCTGCAAAGAATTTTACTGGTCCAGGAACGGAGTTAGAGCCAGGCTAGGCTCACTCCTACCCTTTTCCCTCTAGCTGCTTCTCCCTGCCCACTCACGTGCACAGGTGGCCAAGGCTGCTCCCACACCCGACACACCCTGCCAGCCGGGACTTACTGCCTCTGCCCCACCTCACTCTTCTTGGTGAAGCTGATTCCCAGCAGGCTCTCACTCCCCAAGCTTCAGCTGTCCGTTGCCCTTCTCCTCTAACATCAAACAGATACCCTGTGTTCCTTAATCTGCTCAGCTGAGCCGGGCAGTGGCTGAGCCGCACGCCTTTAATTCCAACACTCAGGAAGCAGAACTAGGTGGATCTCTGTGAGCTCGAACTACAAGAGCTAGTTCTAGGACAGACAAGCGCTCAGTCTGTACATTCTATAAGGACACCTACAGGTTCCCCATGAGCTCCCCGTTGCCTTCCTGTCCAGGGGAGGGTAGGAAGTAATTACTATCTACTTGGCTACCCTTTGGGGAACATAATTTAAAGGAGGCCCTGATTTAAAAGGAGAAGGCATTCAAGAGCAAGCAGTTGTGTGATGAGCTTCATGGTGAGTGAAATTCTGACAGAGGCAAAACATAAGTAAGCAGGAGGTGGGGGCAGTCATGAGGGCCAGATGAAGGCAATCGGTGGGCACACAAGAGCCAGGGAGGGCACAGGCCAGCCTTGTGAGGTAGCACAGGGACTAAGTCTATGTGACAGACCCTGGGGCCAAAGCAGGAAGGAGACAGCAGATGAGACACCCAATGAGGTCATGGTCAAGGTTCAAAAAAAAAAATTCAAAATTGCCAGGCAGTGGTGGCACACACCTTTAACCCCAGCACTCGGGAGGCAGAGGCAGGTGGATCTCTGTGAGTTTGAGGCCAGCCTGGGCTACAGAGCTAGTTCCAGGACAGGCTCCAAAGCTGTCTCGAAAAACAAACCCTGTCTCGAAAAACAAAACAGAACAAAAATTCAAAGTTAACAAAGCACCACGTAAGGCCCAAACTCCCTGTTTTATAATATTTTCCATCCGTACGTGGCTTATGTTTCCATATTACTTTATTCTCTCTTTAAAGACTTTATTATTCTAAAAATACTTAATTTTTTCTATGACTGTCTATATCCATTTTCTTTTCTTTTCCTTTAGTGTCTAAGCACATTTTAGTGTCTAAGATACTCTGCCTGTTTAAAGGTTTTTGTCCTGTCTGAATCTGTCTTTACCAAGCAACTGCAGTGTTCTCTGATAGCATGACACAATCTTAACCCGCTGTGCCAGCAACCAGACATGGCACCGGTGCACGGTGCTGGCAGTAGGCAGCGCTGGTAGCCACATCCATGTGTGGCCAAGCACCAGCCTGCCTGAGAGACTGCAGGGCTAGGAAGCTACATCCAGCTCCTTGTCAAGAACTTTTCTTAGCTTTCTCAGACCCTATGTTTGGACATCAGACACCACATGTAGCAAGTCTTTCTCTGTACCATCAGTTCCCAAATAATGCCATGGAGACTTATTATTAATTATGAAAGCTCAGCCTTTGCTTAGGCTTGTCCCACTAGCTCTTATAACTTGAATGAACTCATTTATTTTCATCTGTGGTCAGCTGCGTGGTTTGTTACCTCATTTCTCCACAACGTTCATGCTGCTTTCTCCACGCCTGGCTGGTGACCCCGCCTTTCTTCCTCTCCAAGTCCTCTCTGTCCCCAGAAGTCCCTCTCTGTCCCCAGAAGTCCCGCCTCTATTAAACCAATCATAGTGCCACATCTTCACACAGTGTGAAGGGATATTCTGCAACACCGTCCCTAGGACACCCCTTATCAACAAAACTCCTCCTTTCAGAGCTCATAAAGGGAGGGAGGCTCCAGACAGTCACCCGGGTCTCTTGAATTGTGGCTCTCTTTGTAGTGTGTCTGACCCACGTGGTTTCTTTCTCATTCATTAGTTTGCATATCACCCATTTATTGTGAAAGGGAGGCATGGCCATGATTTACGTGATGAAATATGTCAGAACTTTAGCGAAAAGGGCAGCTTCATGTCCAAGAATATCGCCAGCTCTAAACGAGAAATAACTCTTGTCATCTAGACCCACACTGGTGCCTCCGTGCTCTGGTGGGATTGGCTCTGACTTTCACACTATTTGGCAGAATGTCTCTACCCATTCCTTAGCATCTCACCCCACTACTGTTTCCCGGACGACATTTCTTGGGGATTTTTCTAGAAGCAGAGTACTACCTGGTTGGTTAGTTTCAGCTACACGCCTTTTAACCTCCATCAAAACTGTAGAAGAATCTTTCTCAGTGCGTGTCCTGCTGTGATTTTCTCTCTTTCTAGAGATGGGAGCCCTTCTAGTGAGCAGGGAGTGGTGGTTAGGGCTCTCCTTCTAGGCTTTTCCAAGTAGCCAGAAAAGTGAATGACCCCGACTTTGCTCTTGGATAATGTTTCTTACAACTTTCTGTTCTGTATTCTCTTCTGTAATTCTTTGGTTATAGAGCCAGGACCTGAACACCCCTGGCCCAGACAGTGACCTCAGGTAAGAGACATCCCCCAAAGACTGAGGGTGTTGTGGGCTTCTGTTTGGAGCTATGTGTTCATCCACAGGCTGTGGTGGCAGAATTCTTCATTCCCTTGCATCACCAAGCTCTCGCTGTGGGTCTGGACTGGGGAGATGTTGCAGTGTTGGCAAGTGAGTCTCTCTCATGCCTTTTACAGCCTTTGGACCAGCGGGGGATGTTTGGATTTCCCTTCTTTGAGTTTTGCTGCTGTGAAATTATCATTTGTCTGTGTTTTTGTAGATGTAACTGCCTTTCTTGGGTTGGAATTTTCCTTCTAGTAATTTCTGTAGCACTAGATTTATGGATAGATGTTGTTTAAATCTGGTTTTGTCATGAAATAGCTTGTTTTCTCTATCTACGGTGATTGAAAATTTTGTTGGGTATAGTAGTCAGGGATGGCATCCATGGTCCCTTAGTGTCTGTAAAATGTCTGTCCAGAATCTTCTGGCTTTTAGAGTCTCCATTGAGAAGTCTGGTGTAATTCTGATAGGTCTGCCTTTATACATTACTTGGCCTTTTTTTCCTTTGCAGCTCTTAAAATTCTTTATTCTGTGTGTTTAGTGTTTTCATTATTATGTGACAAGGGGATTTTTTTTTTGTCCAGCCTATTTGATGTTCTGCAAGCTTCTTGTACCTTTATGAACATGTCCTTCTTCAGTTTGGAAATGTTTTCTCCTATAATTTTTTAAAATATTTATTTATTATTTATACAATATTCTGTCTATGCGTATGTCTGCGGGACAGAAGAGGGCACCAGACCTCATTACAGATGATTGTGAGCCACCATGTGGTTGCCGGGAATTGAACTCCGGACCTTTGAAAGAGCAGGCAATGCTCTTAACCACTGAACCATCTCTCTGGCCCCCTCGCCTATAATTTTATTGAATATGTGTTCTATGCCTTTGAGCTGGAATCCTTCTACTATCCCTATTATTCTTAGCATTGGTCCTTTCATGGTGTCCCAGATTTTCTGGGTGTTTTGTGTTAGGAATTTATTGAATTTAACATTTTCTTTGCCTGATGAAGCTATTTCCTCTATCGTATTTTCAACGCCTGAGATTCTCTCTTCCATCTCTTGTATTTTGTTGGTAATGTTGGCATCTGTAGCTCCTGTTCACTTCCACAGATTTTCCACTGCCAGAATTCCCTCAATTTGTGTTTTCTTGTTTCTATTTCAGTTTTGAAATCTTGAACTGTTTCCTTCACCTCTTTTTATTTTTTTCCTTTGCTTCCTTTAAGGGAGTTATTTCTTCCAAATTTTTGCTTGTCTTTTCCTCGATTTCTTTAAGGAAAATTTTCATCCCCTCTTTAAGAGCCTCTATCATCTTCATAAACTAATTAAATTCATTTTCTTGTGTTTCAGTTGCATTGGTATGTTCAGGTCTTACTGTTGTAGGATCACTGGGTTCTGGTGGTGCCACATGGCTTTTGGTTGTTGAATGTATTCTTACAGTGGCGTTTACTCATCTTTTCTTCCAACTGGTGTGGCTTGGGCCTGTGCCTGTTCTTCCAACTACTGTGGTCAGCACCTGTGCCTATGTAGTCTGCTGGGGTTGAGAGGGAGGGTTGGCCAGGGGGAGGATTTTCAGGTGCATGGGGTTGGGAAGCAGAGTGGGTCTTGGAGAGACAGAGTTTAGTGTGTGGTAGGGGTGGGCACAGCCTGCAGGCAGGCTGGCATAATCCATATTTTTTTGTCTACCCTCTGCCAGGTGGCAGTACCTTCTTTCAGCATG